CCCCCGAGAGCTGCCTGGAGCCAGCTGGTTCCCCCCTGCCACATTAGGGGCACAAAGCAAAGGGGCCAGTGGGACGCTCCCAGGCAGAGCCCCCCAACACTGTGCTCCCCAAGGTCCATCACCCCCCCAAGTGGAGGGGGTCAGAACGGGGCATGCAAGCCCCCATGCCTGGCAGGAAGGGGTAACAGGGCCGGGGGGGGCCAGGGAGCCCTGCCTGGAGCCAGCTGGTTCCCCCCTGCCACATTAGGGGCACAAAGCAAAGGGGCCAGTGGGACGCTCCCAGGCAGAGCCCCCCAACACTGTGCTCCCCAAGGTCCATCACCCCCCCAAGTGGAGGGGGTCAGAACGGGGCATGCAAGCCCCCATGCCTGGCAGGAAGGGGTAACAGGGCCGGGGGGGGCCAGGGAGCCACCCGGAGACACCTGCTGTCGTGTGGCAGCTGCCGGGGCCTGCCCTTACCTGGGGATGGAGCAGAGGTACAGGAGGAGCTGGGCTACCGCTGGGGCGGAGCACCAGGTGGCTTCCCAGGCGCTGCTGCTTGTGCTCACCTGGATCAGGGCCCGGCCCAGCTTATCTGTGCTCCCTGCAGCCAGGAGAAAGCAAACGCTCAGTGCCCTGCGGCAGGGCTGGAGCACACAGACCATCTACTAGGCTGCTCCCCCCCAGCCCCCCGCCCGGCTCTGTTGTGCGAGAGGAATGTCTCCTTCTCAGTCGGGGGTCACGTCAGTCGGCGGCCACGTCACGTGTGTGTGTGGCCCCCAACTGATGTTTCTGTGGGTCAGTGACCCCTGACCCCAAAAGGTCCCCCCCGCCGTGCAGTTTGGCGAGGCGCTCGATGGCTTTAGTGACAGGCTAACCCGGCCCCCCTCGGAGAGCCCGTCTCCAGTTCCCAGTGCCGCCAAGCCCTTGTGTTAGCAGCCAGAGCCCCGCCCCCGGGACTCTGCCTGCTTGGGGGAGCAGAGGCAGGGGTCTCCGATTTGCCTTCTCGTTTCGGGCTAGGAGCCCTGTTTTCAAGCTGCCGTCTCTCTGCAGCCACGCGGAGCAGAGACGCCCTTTGGAAAAGCAAGCTACGTCTTAACGCCGGCCGTGCTCAGCAACTCGGGGTGGGGAACCTTTCTGGGTGGGGGCCGCTGACCCACAGAAAAGTCACTCCCCACATTCCCCTTGCACACCAGAGCCTGGGGTGGCCCAGGCTGGTAGATTCTGTGTGCTCCAGCCCTGTGGAGGGGGGAGGGACTGGAGCGCCAGTGCAGGGGGGCCCTGAGCCTTGTGGGGCTGGATCAAGGCAAGCCGGGGGCTGCGACCGCCCCCCAGGCCTTAGGTTCCCCGCCCCTGTAAGCTATGCCAAGTCTAAGGCGCCAGAGCATTACAAAATTTGAAATTTAGTTTTTTTTGTGTTTAGAGGCCCTAAGCTGGAGCTTGCTTAGTGCGTGTGTAAATCCAGCCCTGGTCCTAGGCTGCAGCTCTTGGGACCTGTGGCTTGTACGGGCAGCACCTGCAGTACGGCTGGGTCGGGGCCTTGCTGGAGAGCTGTGCCAAACGCTACTGGGCCAGCCCCACCACGGCCCCACTGTCGCCTTGCTGCCTGCTAGCGTCTCGCTGCGGGGAGGCTCCTGTGAGGGGCTGGAGGCTGGAGGAGCCAGTAGTGTTGGGAGTCTCATGCTGGCTCGGGGCAGCGTTCCTCTGTGCCTCAGTGCTGCCATCTGCAAAATGGGGAGAAGGCTTCCTGGCCTGCCTGGGGGCTGTGCGCACTGTTGGGCTAACGGCTGAGCTGGGCTTTGCGGAGAATGGAGCTGGCTGGAGGAGTTTGGGCTTTCCCACACCATTGTTTTGTTTGTTTTAAAAAGGTTCCGGTTTCCCATGTAAACCCCCCCGCCCCGACATCCAGTGTGGCAAAGTGGTTCTGTCTCTTGGAATGGAAACGTTTCGGCCGACAGGCAAACTGTTCTAGTTTTCCTGAACACTATTACCTGAGCGGCTGAAATGGTTCCATGTTGGTGCTTGCCATTTTTCAACAACACCCCTAAAAAACGTTGGCTGTGTGACGTAGTGTTGGTACCTTGCTGGGTGCTGGCTGGGGCTGTGGGTGACCCTCACTGGCTGCTGTCTGTAGCACGGCCCAGCAGAGCAGCTGATGGGACAAGGTCACCTGTTCGACCCAGGGAGAGGAACAAAGGAAGGTGGAATGCTGCCCCTGGCTGGGGGGCAGGGCAGGAAGAGAGGGTCGTTTAGCTTCTGTCTGGGAAGCAGGGGAGAAGGAGCTAGGGAGGGGGGCTGGGATTGTAGGGCCCAGCCACCCCCCATCTCAAGGGGGGCACTGAGGCCTCCTAGCCCCGATTCCTGTAACCAGATTCCATCTGTGCTGGGCTGTATCCTGGAGGAGCAATAAACTCCCTCTGTTCTACTGGCTGGTGGAGTCTGTTCGTGTCACTACGGGGGTGCAGGAGACGGGAAAACCCCAATGCGCCGTCACAGAGAGCCCTGAGGGAAGGGGTCCAGCACTCGGGGTCAGACACCAGAGGGAAGGTTATTGGACAATTGTTTTGTGGGATTCTCTTTTATCCTGGAAAGGGTGGGATTGAATGTGAACTGACTGGAGGCTGAGCCATGAAAAGAGGTAGAACTCCAGAGGGCTGAAGCAGCTGTCAGCAGAGGGTGCTGGATGAGAGGAACCTGCTACGCTACCCTACGCCACACCATGAGGGAGTGCACTCGAGGTGAGCACACCTTTGGCACAGTCCCTTTACCGTCGCCGAGAGACCCGTCCGTCTGATCCGCACCTGGCCGGGAAAACAGAGCAAAGCCAGGGCAGGTTTTAGCGGAGAGGGGCCGACGCGTGTGCCGTTACTGTCTCAGACCTGGTGTGGCACCACCCCCTGTGGGCTCTTACCTTTCCCAGCTGCCTTGGCTCTGCTCACCCGGGGAGAGTAAAGGGCCGACATCCTCTTCCGCGGCCCTTCGTGTTGGCTGGCACCAGACACGCCGGCCCCTGGGGCTGCTGCTTGTCGCTGGCCCTTGAAGAAGGAGAATTTATGGCTGGCAGGAGGCGACTGTGACCGAGGGAGGTTTCTCACTGCGCCAGCGGGAGACCTGAGCAGCTTTGAGTACCCCTGTCTTGTCCCCTCCTCGGCGTTGGTCGCCTGCGGCTCGGCCTTCCGAGGAAAGCCAGAGAGGAGTCTGGGAGCGGCTGCCTGGTCCAGCCCCTGCATGGCGGGAGCTGGATTCTCCCGAGGCCTGCCTGCCACAGGGAACGCCTGTCTGGGCACATGCGACTCCTCCAGTATGGCTGCCATCAGGCCAGAGCCCAGGTTCACAGGGTTCCGGATGGCAGCCACGTAGGACTCGCGGTACCGACACCTCGGCCCAGGGACTTTGGGATCTCGGGGCAGTTTCCTCCTCAGAAGTGGGGTGCAGGGGCCCTCCTCCGAGCTCTGCCCTTTCCCACCGGGCCACTTCTCTGCTGCTGTCCCTCTCGTGCCCGTGGGAAGCCGCGGTTTACTCGCGGACGACACCGGGGTTTCTCCAGAAGGTCCCGGTTGGCCATGGGACGGTCCTGACGTGGCCAGATGCTCCAGCTTCACTTCTTCAGTCCACTCCAGCAGGTCCACGTAGTCCCCTTCCCGGTCACACGGGCTTGGCACCACAAACGCGCTGGGCTTTTTCCGGGGGCTTGCTTGGTCCACTTTTATGAGTCCTGGGTACTTGCCCTGGCCTGACCTCTCGGGCCCATCTTGGCCATCCAGGACCGTGCCCGGGATGTTACCGTGCAGCCTCGGAGCATCTGCCAGGCCCAAAGACCCAGTGCCGCTCTGTGAGGCCGGATCCTCCGGCACTGCGGCGCTGCTGAGGCCCAGGGCGTGTGCCAGAAGGGACGCTCCGAGCTGGGTGGGACCTGGTGCCACCGTGGGCTTGTGGATGAACTCTGGCGTGGCTATCTGACTCCACGGCAGGGGGGCCACGCCCTTTTCTGTGGCCACCAGGCAGGTGTGCAGCGGCGCTCCGCTCAGGGCATGGTTGACTTCCTCCAGCCAGTGGCTGGTAAACAGCAGGGCGTGGGAGGATTCAGGGACCAGCCTCTCCTCCACGGTGCGCAAGTCCCGGGAGAGGCACTTCACCGTGAGGCAGGCCGACTGCTCCCCGTAGGGCTCTGCCTGGAGGTAGAAGTCTCCGGGGCGCAGCAGGAGAGGGTTGAGGGGTGCCAGGTGAACGACCACCTTCTCGTGCAGACACAAGGGCCAGCCTTCGTGGAGAAAGATGCAGTTCAGGTAAGGTGCCTAGGAGAGAGAACAGCACGTTGGGTTAACAACACAGACTCTGTCCAGCTTGTGGGGGGTGGAGTGCTGGACTGGGACTCGGAGTTGGCTCTGCCATGGGCCTGCTGGGTGGCCTCGGGCAAGTCACTCGTCTCCCCGTGCCTCAGTTTCCCCATCTGTCAAGTGGGGCCAATGAGCCTGCCCTCCTTGGTGAGCGCTATTGCTGCAGAGCAGTGAGCGAGTGAGGGGTCGCCAGTGTTTGGCCTTCGCTCCACGGGATGTGAGCGGCTTGTGGGCCAAGGTCACAGCCCCTGTTGGCGCGGGTGCCGCGTGAGGGACAGTGAGCAGATGTAGCCGTGCCTCAAAGGACCTCGACGCTGGGGGGAGAGGGCAGGATCATCCCATTGGACAGATGAAAATGTGACTCGGGAAGGGACTCGCATCCTGGTCCTGGCTTAATAGCACGGCCCTGACGAGGACGGTTTTCCTTCAGAGGGGAGAGCCCTGAGCATGCCCAGGCCCCCCGGCAGGCCTGGGCCTGAGAGCGGGCTCTGGGAACACCGGGGGAGGCTCCTGTAGGTACCGATAGACTCACGCAGGCCGCCTGCCACGCGCTCAAAGAGGCGCTTGGCAGGAATGAGGAAGTCGAGAAGGCAGCAGAGCCCGTCGCCATGGTAGTCGCTGTCGAGGAGGCGGAACAGTTGGCTGAGGACGGTCGGGGCCGTGACGTCGAATGGCGGGTAGAGGGACAGCAGGGCCTTCTGCACGGCCACGTCGAGGGAGCGGGGATCCTGCAGGGGAAACGGCTCCTCCGTCAGACAGAGCAACACCAGCAATGGCCTCGCCCCGCTGCCCCCCGCTTCACTGACCCCCCGCGGAGCCTGTCCCAGCCCTCCGGCGTGGCGGG